TTTTTTGAAATATATTTTTATTGATTTCAGAAAGGAAGGGAGAGAGAGAAACATCAATGATGAGAGAGAATCATTGATCAGCTGCCTCCTGCACGCCTCCTACCGGAGATCAAGCCCGCAGCCCGGGGAATGTGCCCTGACCGGGAATGGAACTGTGACCTCCTGGTTCATAGGTCAACGCTCAACCACTGAGCCACGACTCTGGGCCATAAGTATAATTTTTATTTTTAAAAAAACCACAAACTAATGTCTTCCCTTTCCACTTGTAAATCTTTCAATTTTATTATATGTGCTGCCAAAGCAAGCACCAAAATTTAAATCTTAAGGTGGTTTACCAGACCCTGCAAACCTGGCCCCAGAATTTCTTTGTCACCAAATCTGCACTCTCCCATATACTACACTCTAGTCAAGTCCTTCAGCCCTAAAGATGCACCTTGTTCACTGTTGAGCGCTTTGTAGATGCTCCCTTGCTCTTAAACCCTCTCCTCTGGGTCTCAGGAGATCAAGGGCAGGCTGCCAGTTTCCAGGAGCTGCATCTTGGTGTTGAGGCTGCACCTGCCCACTTCCTGCCCCTGTTCTCAGCATGGCATTCCTCCCCTCACCTGTGCTTTGTCCAGAGACCATCTTCTTGACTCTAGAGATTCCGTTAAAGGTTTGTAAGTAGAAGATTGACATACAACGCAGGTCTTGGCAAATTGTCCTTTCCCTTGTCGCTGACAGATTGAACCAGGGTAGCCGACCAGTCTCCATCCTGCCTGGCTGTGCCTTACTGAGGCTCAGATCTTTGCCCCACCTGCCACACTCCTGCCTCAAGGACCAGGGTAGGCACATAGCTATCTTGCTTGTGTCTAACTTGATTTTTCTTGACTTATGCAACCCTTTCTTGAGAAGCAACTGTGCTCAGTCACTGCAGCCATTGTGGAAACACTGGCTAGCAACCCTAAAAACTAAGTGAGCTCTTAGAGGTATTGGGAATTCACTGGGTTATAGGTAGAGTAGAAACACATGGACTTAAGAGCTAAGACCCAAGTTTGAATC